GATATTGTATGTATTAATAAGAAAACTAAAACCTGTTCTATCGGTGTAAAAAGTATTTTGAATTTTTTCGTCATAAAGACAGAGAGGCCTTGTCAGATGATGATTGTATTGATAGTTTATTGGATTAATTAACATTGTTAATGTATTGATTAATATTGTTATTTTAACTAGAACTGATAGGTTAGATCATGTTTATGAGATATTATAGAAAAAAAGTGAACTATTGTAGTTATTTTTGTTATATATGTAATTTTACAAATTATTGATAAATAAATAGGCTACAGATGTACGTTATTTCTTCAGTGGTTTACTTATAGTACATCAACTTAAAATATTAATTTACCAGTTTTTGCTTCAGTCATTATTTAAATTTAATATGTTTTGTGCCTGCGTTAATTTTCTTCACACATTTGATTGTTACCATACCTGTTTTTTAATTAAACGAGTCGTCATAAAAGTCAAAATCCATAGAAAAACAAACAGCAACATATGTTTGATCTAACAGTTTTATTTCCTTTCCAGTTCACTGTGCCATAGAATTTATGAAAGCCAATTTTCTGTATCCGTAATGTTTAGTCTTCAAGGCAAGTACGGAGTGACTGACCAACTTTGGATAACAGAACTTGGAAATTTGTGTACCACTAACTTATTGTGATAGTTACAATAACTTATTTTATTGGGTGAAAACATCAGTGGTTTAATTAGTTTACTTCTTTAACTAATATTTTTCCTCTCGTAACGTATCTGATTATTTTTGGCATGAATGCATGGGCAAAAGAAGAAAAAAAAAAAGACTTTGAAAAACTTTCATGTCATACTTTTCTAAGTGACTGATCTTAACTTCAACAGAATATGATTACAACTTTGATAGTTACACAGGTGCTTTGTTTACAGATGAAACGGTATATTTCTCTCAAAAGTTAACTGTTTTGTAATGTAAACTAAAACTTGTCTTGTTGAAATTTTGTGATAAACGTATTGTTTGTTTTCACCCAGCTAATTAGTTCACACTATGTCTTTGTTAAAGTTGCACACACACACACACAAAAAAAAGGTTTAACTTTAAAACAACATGATTTGTGCTTACATTCTTGAAGTATTGTGTCATTCTGTTTTTCTTAAAGCTTCTAACAGCTTATCTGTCAAAAATTTTCCTTATTTTGAATTCCAGCAGTTATGGAAGCTGTGAAGACATGCACAAGTGCTGCATGTCCGAAAAGGCTTATAATCCCTGACTGATGTCTAAACCAACACTGTGAATTTTAATATCTCTGTAATTTGTCTTTACAGGGGAACTTCTATTGAGGTGCACGGATATTAATGCATGTTTATTTTGTTTGTCTTATGCATGCAGGGATTCGGTTTTGTAACTTTCGCAAGTAGTGTGGATGCTGATCGCGCACGAGAGCAATTGAACGGCACGGTGGTTGAGGGACGCAAAATAGAGGTGCATGATCTTTATCCTTTGTGGTAGCACTTGTTGTTCTAACGTTTAGGCTTAGATAGAGTCAGTCAGCAAAGAAATGTCCATCCTGTTATGAATTACTTACAATAGAAGTTTTCCCTGACAACTCACAGAGGGTGTTTGTATCTTTTTTTTGTTTGTTTGTTTATAGTAAATTGGATGAGTGAATGAAAGTATACTGTGTGATATGACACATCGTAACGAACCGATTTTGTAAAGAAGTTGAACTTACCTTTCATTTATATAATGACTACGATGCTTGTAAGTTTTTGATTTCAGATTAGTGTCACATTATATATTTTCTTGTATTGTGCATCCATCTGTTCAGTTCTCCTTCTTAGTTTGGTATGATCACACATTTGGGAGTTGTTTTAATCAAAACCTTCCATTACCTTCGTTGGTTTGAATGACATAGTTGAAGGTCTTTGAATTCACACGTGCTGCTTGAAACCCGACCACTGTGTGCCTTGAGACAACATTGGATAGACATTTCTTGTGCTGGTGGCACTATAGACATTCCAGTGCTTATCGTTAGCTAGTAGTCTTAGTAGTAATAGTGGAAAGTTAAGGTGAACTCTGTGAGAACGTCAAAACTACTTGTACAAACACGACCTCCTTTCTCATCTGAATATTATGCAAAGAAAAACATGCACAACATAACCTAATGTTTAGTGTACGATTACATCTCTTAATTATATCAGTATACAATTGAACCACAAATTTAGGAGCAAAAGACTGAAATGAATGAAGTATAAGTTACTTTTTTCTTGTTAACCATCTTAAGCCTCAGAAAAAAAAAGTTTAAGTACAAAGATTAATTAAACATTTGTATTATATTTAAAGAAAGATATGCTTTATTTATTTTTTGAAATAGTTTTAATTACACTTGAAATAAATTCAGGTTTCCATTCTTGTATTTTTATGAATGAAAAGTTTGTAAGGAACTGAATCTATTTATAAATTAAGTTGAACTTGCATTCAATAAAAAATACATTGTGCCATTTAATCAGATTTTCCTGACCTCTCATCAGTTGTCAGGCATTAAACCCCAGGTTTCGCACTTAAAAACTATAGCCGACACAAATATATAGTGGAATAAGCTGTTACCGGAGATTATCAATGGTTGATACCACTGTTCTACCACAGGTTGTAGACCTGTTTGTATCACTGTTCTACCACAGGTTGTAGACCTGTTTGTATCACTGTTCTACCACAGGTTGTAGACCTGTTTGTATCACTGTTCTACCACAGGTTGTAGACCTGTTTATATCACTGTTCTACTACAGGTTGTAGACCTGTTTGTATCACTGTTCTACCACAGGTTGTAGACCTGTTTATATCA